CTCCGCCGCGCCAGGCGCGCAGGGAGTGGCCCCGCCAGGTGCTCCGAAGGCCGGCCTGCGGCGTCTGGCAGCGGGCCGCGCGCGGCCTCTCCCGCGGGGAGGGCCCGTCGCGATTCTCAGGCTGTGCAGCCGCTCGTCGCTCGCGCTGGGCCAGCGCTGGTGGGGCCGGCCGTTCGCTGCTATGTGGGGCCCTTGGCATCGCTTGGACGTGTGCATTTTTCCTTCGGCGAGGACCCTCGAGGAGCATCCTCGATCATTTGGCGAAAACGCCACGCACGAAACCAAACAAAACACAGGGAATGGACGTCCGAGCGATGGCGAGGGCCGCGGTCAGCTTCCGCGCCCGCCTTCCTCGCGCGTGGGGGCCCAGTGCCAGCGGGGGCGGCTTGCGTATGTGCGCGACCATGCTCAGCATCCACAGCCGCCTTTCGCGCGTGCCAGGCGAGCGCCGGTGGGGCCGGCGATGCGCTAACAACTCGGCAGCACGGTAGCCTTGACCGCGCCAGGTCCCTTGCCAGAAGGGGCGGCTGTAGGTCATCCCGCGCGGCAGCAGGTAAACCAGGGGGCGGGGTGTAGCCACAGGGGCAAGCTGCGACACAACGTGGCGTCATCCGATCAGGGAGCTGCGTCTGCGCTCGATCCGAAGCTAAGTGAGATCGTGTTGCTTCTCCACTGCTGGCCGCTGTATCGATTGGGGACGCTTGATCTGACAGCTGGGCGCTGCAATCCCCAGTCGGCTATCACCTTGGCCAGGACAGCGGAAAGTGCACGGATCAGAGTGAGTTTTGATCATTTGGCAATGGTTGGAACACACATGCGAGTTACGACGAGTACTTTCACACGACGATGAGTGCTTGACGCGGATGAAAGAGGCCACAGTAAACGTTTTTTGTTCAGATGCATGGTCTGCGTTCCTCCGTACGATGCCAATGCGTGCGGCTGCAGCATCATACGGGGCAACAGCGTTCGTGCGGAGCGAGGTGTACACGTCATCCTTTCGCCTGGGTCGAGTCGACGTCGTGGTCTACTGGCCTCTTCTAAGCATGGGGTTCTCGATCTTACGATTGTAGCGACGGGCTGTCAACCGGGATCAGAAGACCTGGAGTGGCTGGATTTCTCCTGTCGTGATCACAGTGACGATTTGCGACTGGTGCGACAAACGAGAGCGGGGAAGAGTTCCTGGAGCCCCTTGAGCGCCCCTGGCCCTCTATATATATATATATATATATATATATATATATATATATATATATAAATAAACGAGAGCGGGGAAGAGCTTCTTGCCCTGCCCTGCCCTCTGACCACTCCGCCGCCTCTCTCCTGGCTTGAGGCTATAGAGGCCTTGACCCCCGAAGCCCTGGGCCTTCCTCTGCCGCCTCCCCCCGACCTCTGGGCATTGGCCGCGGGCGCGGGGCGAGCGATGCAGGAGCGGTACCCCCCCCCCCCTCCGCCAGGCCCGCGGCGGCGCCGCAGCGGCGCCCCGCCTCGAATGGTCCCTGGCCGGCAGCAGCCAGGGCGCCGGCGTGCCCTCCGCGGTGGCCCTGCGACGGCGCGCGCCGAGCGGCACGGCCGCCTCGGCGAGGCATGGGGGGCCAGGGGCGGCCCTGAGGGCTCCAAGAAGGTTCAGAAGGGGCCCCGGACCCCACCAGAGGCTCCCAAGCTGGCCCAAGAGGCGCCCAAAGCGCCCCAGGTTGTCTGGAAGGTGGCTGAAGAACGCTCTGAGATGGCTTCCGGACGGGTTACGAGCGCTGGAAGACAGCCCAAGACTGCTCCTGGACGGCCGCAAAGGCATTCAAGACGGTCCAAGAGGCCGCCGAGAAAGCCGTCCAAGGGCAAACATCAAGCATTTCCGATGGGAAAACGTATATTTCTTGGATCTTTGCTTTTCAGTCCTACCAGCGGCCGCGACGGCCCCAGAGGCTCCCAAAATGAGCCGCAGACGGCCCAAGAGGCCCCTTAAGAGGGCCTCCAGGCGGCCTGAAGAGAGCGCCAAGCAGCACAAGAGAGCTCCAACACGGCCCAAGAGAGTACCCAGGAACCCCGAGGGGGCCACCGGAGGATCCCTACATGGTCGGAGAGGGCCCCCAGAGCTCCCCAAGACGGGCTCAGGTCCCTCATGACGGGCGAAGAGGGACCCGGAACGGCCGAACTGGGCCCCCAGAGGGTCCACAAAAGGCCTCCCTGAATTCCCTGAAGACGGTCCAGGAGGCCGTTGAGAAGGCCCCCGGGTGCAAAAAACGAGCACTTCCCATGAGAAAACGTACATTTCTAGGACATTCGCTTCTTATGTTCCATCGGCGGCCACGTCGGCTCCAAAAATCCCCCAAATCGGCGCCACACGGTCCACGACAGCCTCAAGAGAGCGTCGAGCAGCACCAAAGAGCTCCAAAACAGCCCGAGAGAGTCCCCAGGGGGCCCGAGGGAGCCACCAGAGGATCCCGACATGGTCGGAGAGGGCTCCATGAGGGCCCCAAGACGGCTCAGCTACCGATGACATGCAAAGAGAGGCTTGGGACAGCCGAAATGGGCTCCAAGACGGGCCACAAAGCCCCAAAAGGACCCCCCTAGGACTGTCCAAGAGGCCCCTGAGAAGGCCCTCTAAAGGCAAAAATCGATGTATTTCTGGGAGCTTCGCTTTTCAGTTCTACCAGCGGTCGCGACGGCCCAAGAAGTTACCAAAATGTGCCCCAGACGGCCCCAGAGGCCCTAAAGAGAGGGGCTGAAGAGAGCGCCAAGCGGCACAGAAGAGCTACAAGACGGCCCAAGAGAGCCCCCGGGAAGCCCGAGGGGGCCACCAGAGGATTCTTACAAGGTCGGAGAGGGCCCCAGCAGGGCCCCAAGATGGGCTGAGCTCCCCACGACGAGCCAAGAGGGACCCGGAACGGCCGAAATGGGCCCTCAGACGGGCCAAAAAAGGCCCCAAAGGCCCGGAGAGGCTCAAGAGACTGTCACAATGCTTCCGAAAAAGGCTCCCGGAACGCGTTCCAGTAGGCACCCGTGTACTGGGTGCGCGCTGAGAGAAGAGAGGAGGAGGAGGAGGAGGAGGAGGAGGAGGAGGAGGAGGAGGAGGAGGAGGAGGAGGAGGAGGAGGACAAGGAGGAGGAAGCGGAGGAGCAGGAGGAGGAGGAGGAGGAGGAGGGAGGAGGGGAGGAGGAGGAGGAGGAGGAGGAGGAGGAAGGAGGAGGAGGAGGGACGTAGGAGGAGGGAGAGGAGGAGGAGGAGGAGGAGGAAGAGGAGGAGGAGGAGGAGGAGAAGGAGGAGGAGGGGTTGGAAGATCAGGAGGACGAAGAGGGGGAAGAGGAGGAGGAAGAGGAGGAGGGACATTGTTCTTGTATGATAAACATGTTCTCAGTTTCTCTGGCTCAGGGAGGGACGCTGAGGACGAGGAGGGAAGGGGAGCGCAGGATGAAGAGCGCTCGAGATCAGGACAGAGGTGAAGTAGGTGAAGGAACACAAGGAGGGACACACCGAAGAGCGGGGAAGACAGGGAGGAGGATGAGATGGAGGAGGAGGAGGAGGAGGAGGAGGAGGAGGAGGAGGAGGAGGAGGAGGTAAATGAACAGGGATCCCTTTCAGGGAGACGCCGACGAGGAAAATGATGAGTACAAGATGATGGGAAGAGGGAGAACGGGAACAGGAGGAGGGGAAGGGGACTGCAGTGGACCTGGGATGATGACGGCGATAACGTTGATGATGATGACGATGATTGTGCCGACGACGACCAACAAGGTGGTGATGATGCGGATGATGATGCCGAAAAGTACGATGATGAAGTTGGCGATGGTGATCACGATGCTGATGATAATGGTGATACTGATGATTGTTGTGATGGTGAAGGTGACCACGACGATGACGATGAAGATGACGGGATATCTCGAAAATGCAGTACAGGTAGTTTGCGACGGTTCCATCTGCATCTGGGCGTGGGAGAAGGATGTCATTCAACTCCACCGCCTGTGAGCAGTCCCCCTGGCGCGCGGGATTCTCGTTCCGTTCCTCTATTTGGCGAGGTCCGTGCAGCACAACAATGGCGGCAACACCAAAAGAGTTTTGTGTCCTCGGTGCTCCCTTCTCCGCGGCTCGAGCAGCAATCGGGCTCTCCCGCCCCGGCGCTCCGCGAGACATTGCTCGCGCCTGCATCCCAAAGAAACCAGAAGCTCCGCGCTTCTTTCCTGTGGCGGCGCCCGCATGTGGCTGACGCGACGGGGGTGGGTTTCCAAGAAGGCGCCAGGGCATCCGAGAAGCCATGGGCCTTCTTCGAGGGCCCTGGAGGCTTTTACGAGCTGTCGTTTTTCAGAAGCCTCCGTTGCCGTCTACGAGAAGGCCCTTCCTTTCTGAGAAGTGCCCCGCCTGCTTCGCCTCGTCGGAAATAGGCAGCCATGGCCATTTCTATGTGCCGACGGGGTGGACCCGGGAATCTGCTATCCAGTTGCGCTGTTTTTTTCTTTCACGTCGCAGGTTGGTCTGCTAAGGTGGGCGCTCCTGACTTGCACGGAGTGGTGGACGGCAGCTCGCTGTTTATTGTGGGTTCGCGTGGCCGTAGCCATAGATCCTGTTCTGCAGAAGCCCCCCCGCCTTCTCAGAAGCCCACCCCCCCGCGTGGCGGAGACCCTGCTCGCCCTGACCCTCTTCGCCGCCGCCCTATTTTCGCCCTGGACCTGGTCGCCTCGGCCCTGTTCGCCCGCCCTCTCCGCCCGAGACCCTGTCCGCCGCCTCTCTGTTCGCCGCCGCCGTCGTTCTCGTCGTCGTCGTCGCCGCCGCCGTCGGAGACTGCGACCGCGCGGGCGCGGCTGGCGAATAGGGCCCCGGTCCCGGCGAACAGGGTCCCGGCGAACAGGGTCCCTGGCGAAGCGGGCCCCCGGCGAAGAGGGTCCCGGCGAAGAGGGCCCCCGGCGAAGAGGGTCCCGGCGAACCAGGGCCCCGGCGAACCAGGATTCGGCGAACAGTGTCCACGCCCCTCGCACCACCCTTATGCGGGCGCAGCCAAACTCGTGCACGCGATGGCCGGCGCAGTGCTCGTGGCCCTGGCGTTGGCGGGCTGCGGCGGGCGCGCGGCGGGCGACGCCTTCCTGCACCGCGCTGGGCTGCCTGCCGTCTCGCAGGCCAGCGGGGGGGAGAGAGGAGCGGAGAAGAGGCCCTGACTTTCCAGAGTGCTGTAAATTATCACTCCAGATCCATAACCTATTCGGACGGGGCTAGGACGGACGATGATGAATCCGTTCCAGAGCGTTCCGCAACGCCCTCTTCCCAGAGCCCACCAAACCACCCCAATGCAACCCAAAGGCCTCAATTTGCCCTCCATTTCCAGTGAGGGGGGCGTCGGGGAGCTCTTGAAAGAACACATGTGGAACCCGTATCCACACAAACCCGAGATGTGGGTCATCGGGTTAGGTTGGGGGTGTCTAGTAGGTCGTACAAAAACACTCCAGATTTGTTGATCTATCTGGACTGCTCAAAGCCTCGACTGGAAATTAGGTATCAAGGCCCTTGTAGCCCTCCTAGAAGGTCATGGGGGAGGTCCCGATATTCACCACCAACCAAACCACCCCAACCCAGCCCGAAGGCTCCAAACTGCCCTCCAAACCAAGTGGTCGGGGGGGGGCGTCGGGGAGCCCGTATCCCCCCAAACCCGAAAGTGGGGTCTTCGGGTTAGGTTGGGGTGTCTGGTAGGTAGACCTATCTGGACTGCTGAACACCTCGACTGGAATTGAGGTAGCAAGGTCCTCAGGTGCTGTTGTGTAGCCCTCCTGGAAGGTCATGGGGGGACGTCCTGATATCGTCAACCGTCTTTTGTTTTCGCTTCTGTTGAGCCGCCTCGAAATCCTGGTCAGAGGGCGCCCCGGGAGTGGTCTGGGGTCCGTAGTTGCCTCGACACTCCCGCTTTCAGTTGCGTGTCAATGCGCTACGTGCTGCGTGTTGCGTATGGGGGCAGCTCAGCCGGGGACTCCTGGCATCAGAACTTCTTGTGGTTTCCCCCGGGGGAGCCAGGCCAGTTCGCGGAGGATGCTCCAGGACGCTTTCGGAAGCTTCTCGGAGGGTTTCGGCATCCGGGGCGGTTGTGTTCTGGGGATGCCGGGAGTCGCCCCGAACGGCCATATCGGGGGCCCCAGGTACCGCCCGAAGGCAGTGGGGAGGAGGGCCAGCGTCCAGGCGGCACAGTGGGCCTCCTGCAGGCCTCTCGTCGCCGCGGCGGGGTGCGCCCCGACGGGGGGGGGGGCGGCGAAAGAGGGACATGCAGTCAACGCGCATCGTAAGGACAAAACGGCTTTTTCAAGGGTGCCCTGGGGTCCCTGCCTGCCTCAGCCTCTGCGGCCCGTCCCCAGCAGTTTTCGCAGGCCAGAATACTTCAACTTCGGCCTCCAAGGGACTTGCGTCCTTACCACGCGTCCTTACTTTCACCGTATGGGGAGGGGTCCGGGGACGGAGCTTGAGCGGATGTGGGCCAGGCGGGAGAGTCGCCGGTGTCCTGATTTTCCTTCTTCTGCAGGAAGGAGCAGGAGGAGGAGGAGGAGGAGGAGGAGGAGGAGGAGGAGAGCAGGGCGGGGAGGTCGAGAGGGGAGGAGAGCGTGTGTGGTCTGCGTAGGTGTGTGGGCATGCGGATGGGAGGACCGCTTGGGGGGGAGGAGTGGGAAGAAGAAGGAGAGAAGGGGGGGATGAGGGTGAGAAGGATGCGGGAGAGGAATCCGAGGGGGACTGATGACGAGAGGAGGAGGGGGAGGAGGAGGAGGAGGAGGAGGAGGAGGAGGAGGAGGAGGAGGGGGAGGGGAAGATGGGGGGCCAATGAGGGGGAGACGGAGGAGAAGTAGAAAGATGAGAAGGGGGGCACGGAGGGGAGGGGGAAGTGTCGGTCGGCTTTGGTCTCGCTGTCGGTTGGGTCGGTCTTCAGTTGGTCTGCCGCCGTGGATGTCACTGCGCCGAAGCATCAACCTCAGCACAGACATAGATTTCCGAAGGCCCGCGCGGATCTCTTGGATCGGCACAGGGGCCGCCTTCCTGGCGCGCGGCGCGCGCCACGGGACGGCGCCCGAGGCGACGCCAGCGGGGACGGGGGCGCCAGCGCCGATCCACGAGATCCTTGTGGACCCCCGGCAGTTTATGCACATGCGTGCGTTCCCGAGGAACACCAGAAAGAGGTATAAACGTACCTGTTCGACGGCCCGCGCTGGTGTCTTGGAGCTGCGCTGGGACCCCTTGGCGGTGCCTCCGGTGCCGCATCCTGGCGCGCTCCGCGCGCCAGGGATGGGGGGGCCCAGCGCGGATCCCAGACATCTGCGCGGACCTCCCAAAGTCGTAGACTTATGCAGTATTTGCTCCCACGATCCGCAGCATGGCCATCGGAGGCGGCAGCAGACTTCGTCAGAGGCCGACCCAAGCGACAGCGAGGCCGGAGCCGAAAGTCTCTGCATGCATGTGTGCAGTTTGTCCGTCCCCTGTTTCAGGGGCCAACGTAGGGGGGGGATAGGGCGAGGGGGGGGCGCATCGACCCTCAATCGCCCATTGAGCGATCGATGGGGGCCTGATACGGTCCACCCCCCCAGGAGCGTTTGGATCCGCTGTCGGGGCAGATCGGCGATCTATCGGCCCTGTGTCGCCGATTCAAGCTTGATGTGTTCCCCGCCCGCTTCGCCGGTCCCCCTTCTGCCGCTTCCCATCATGGGCGGGAGGCCTATCCGTATCCACGGCCCTGCGGGCCGGGCCCTTGGGCCGCGATTCCGCGGATAGGGCCCGTGTTTCCGCGCATGCCCCGCGCGGGACGTACCCATGCGACCGCGCGTCCACCTGATCGCGAGGGCGTGGAGATGAATATGGTCGCCGCTCGTGATCGCTGCTGCCCCCAGACAGCCCCGCGCCTCCTGAACCCTGGCCAGGATGCCCCCAGAAGTCCAGACCTTTTCCCAGGGCCGGTTTTTCCTCCCGAGTCGTCTTCTGACGTTCTAAATTGAGGCAAGGGTAGCGATCCCGCGATACTGCTACCCTTCCTTCGTGCTTGACGCTGTGGGTTTCCTGTGGGGGTCCTCGTCGCTGCCGCTGGATCCGTATCGGAATTATAGTCGGAACGCACCCCGGGAGATGACAGGGAGTAGCGGCACCGGTACCCTCAGGTTTCTCCAGGCCCCGAGCCTGGCACGGGCCCCCCAAAACCCCCGACGGCCGATTGTGCTCAGTCGTACTTGTCTCACGGCGCGGGCATGGTTGGGAGCCGCGCGCCAGCGGTCAGCCACGCGCAGAATGGGGGGAGGGGGGACGGGGGGGGCTTCTCAGAAACACTTGTGCCTCTCAAAAGGTGCGGGTCTTTCCTGTAGATCTAAGCCCGGCGCCTTCTAAGAAGCAGCTTCCTTCTCACGGGCAGCCCCTTCTCAGAAGCACTCCCCCCTCCCCCCCTGACCTTCCTGGAGGGCTAAACGTAGCACCAGGACCTTGATACCTAAATTCCACCAGGCTTTTTGTTGCAGTCCAGATCGGTCCATAGGTCTTGAGTTGTTTTTGCGCTCGGGACGCTCAGGGCGCCTCGGGGAAAGCCTCGAATACTTCTCAGAAGGCCTGGGCGACCTCCAAGCCTCCTGAGAAGGCCCAGCCCCTCTCACCTTCCTCCCTCTGGGCTTGCCGCCGCCCCAGGGGTCAAACTTGCCCAGGGCCGCGCTTGCATGAAAGCCCGTCTTCGTCGGCAGCAAGTCATGGTAGCCGGGTGTACCCTCGCAATTCCGTCTTTAGCGCCGATTAGCGTCGATTAGCGTCTGGAGTCGATGAGTTAGCCCGCCGATTTAGCGTCGGTTAGCGTTGATAATTGCCGATTTAACATAGATTAGCGTCGATTTAGCGTCGATTGGCGTCGAGTCGCAAGCGCCGACAAGATGGTACTGGAGTCTCCCATGAGTTTGCCACCGCAGGTCTCCCGGCCCCGCGCCGGGGCCGGCAGAACGCTTTGGGGGAGGGAACGGTGCGCAGGGGGGCGGCGCCTTATGTCGGAAGGCGGTGGGGCTTCTCAGAAGCCCTCCGGCCTGCTCAGGGGCCGCCCCGGCCTCGAGCAGCGGCACCGCAAAACGGGTACTCACCACAGCGGGTGCTTTTGGGGAAGTTGCCGAGAATTGCCACTTTGGGGCCTCTTTAAGACATATTGCAGCGTGGCCCACATCGGGGAGGGTTGGGCTCGCCGGGGGTCACTGGCCAACGCCCTCGTCAGTGGAGTCCCCGCGACAGGGGCGCTGACTCAAGCTGCTCGCACGCGGCTCACATGCAAGATCTGCTGCAGCATCCCCGCGCCGGCCTTCATGATCTGAGCGGGCTCCTCCCTCTGTCTTCCCCCCTCGCGCTCTGTTCCTTGTCGCCCTCGTGCCTCAGTTCGCTGCCGGTGCACCCCGCCACCTGCTGACTGTCTTGGACCGCGCCCGCGGACTGTAAACGCGTGTGTCCGGAGAAGGCCGGAAAGCCTTTCAGGAGGCCCGAGGCCTTCCGAGCCTTCTGGACAGGCACGCCCCTTCTCACTCGATTACCCCCTGGGCTCGCCGCCGAGATTTCTTGATGCAGATGTTGGGCTTGCAGGGGGGAAGGCAGAGTGGGCGCTCCGCTCGACCGAAATGGGTACGGAAAGAATAGGTGTACAAAACTAAAGAGCACGACCTCTTCATTCCGAACAGGGTTTGCTGTCGGTGTCGCCGCAGCGGGCGCCCAGAACGCAGCTTGCCCAACAGCGGGCGCTATCAGTTTGGGACAGCATTTGTTGTTGGGCATCGTACCCACTCCTTCAATGCCCATTTCGTGCGTACAAAGCTTGGTCTGTTTGGGAGATCCCACGCGCAAGGGTTCACATCGCCCCCCATCAAGGATGTTTCCGCCACAGCGATGGCCCCCACTGTTCAAGAATATGCTCAGCAGTGCGCGCGCCGTCGCGACGCGACGAGATGGTAAAAACATCATGTTGAGTCAAAGGGCAACGAATTCTCCCGATGCCTCCCAGAATGCCGTATGCCTTCCGAGCATTTTGAGACGTTCCGGCCCCTCCGAGTTCTTCTTGGGCTAGCTAAGCATGTGTGGGCCCCGGAAACGGCAGGGCCGTTTTGTTCACTGTTTCAGAAGAAGTGTCCCTTGAAAATGGAAACGGTAAAAAAACGGCGACCGGAAAAACGGCCACAAAAATTGCTCCAGGATTGGAACTGGAGCGGGAACCCGCAAGAGAACGGCGACGGAACCGGTAGAAAAACGGCGTAGCATTTGCAAAAAATTGCAAAACGGAAACTGTAACAACAACGGCCCTGTCGTTTCCCTGTCCTTGCGTCCTCGCGCCCACCCCCGTCATCCCCCATATCATCCCTATGCGTCCCACGCCCATCCCCTCGTCCCGACAGGTATCTCACGATGCACCCCACGGTGCACGGACAGTCACAGGGACGCCGATGGTGACGGTTGTGACGATACTATGGGGGCGGTCTAGGGAGCTGGCAGACCTTCGTAGACGACACAGGGCAGCGAACTTTACAAAGCTAAGCCCCTGCAGTCGGGGCGCTGAAGAAGGAACCCTTCTCGTTTGGGAGGGGCTCCGTGTTCCTGAATTGTTTTACCGTTTGCCTTAGGTTTACCTTCGGTTTTCGATCGGAAATCGAAGTTAAACTTAACGAAAACAGGGGCCTCGTTCCTTATTTAGGGTTCCTTAGGTCAACGCCCCGACTCTACCCGAGGAGGTTGGCCCCGAGCTGGACGGGGCGCTGGCCGCAGAGGTCGAGGAGGCCCTCGGGCTGGGCGGGGCCAGCTGGCGCGCGGCCGAGGGCCGCGCCGTGCACATCAAGGCCTCGCCGGGGGGGGGGGTAATCTCAGGAGGAAGAGAAACACACAGACACAATTAATCCTCGATTCCCCAGAACATATGGGATAGTATGGGAAGTGGGGGGGAAGGCAGACACCCAGAACATATGGGAAGATATGAAGTTGTTTTTTTTGTGTGTATGTATTTGCGCGTCCTGGGGCCCCTTCATAATCGAGGGCGCGCCGTGCACATCGAGGGGCGGCCGAGGGGCAATTCTCGAAGAGGAAAACACGCCATAAGCATAAAGTGTTGTCGCTCCGCGCGGCTTCCTTGGAATTCCGCGCTGGGCCCCCCTGGCGGCGCCTCCGGCGCCGCCCCTGGCGCTCTCCGCGCGCCAGGGAGGGGGGTGCAGCGCGGATCCGAGAAATCCGCGCGGACCTCCGTGTTTTTATGTTTGTGCATTTTTGTGGTTCAGTCGCGTGGCGCCTTTTTCGCGTGGCAAAAAAGTGCACACAAAGGCCGCGGCCCCGCGCGGTCAGAGCTCCCCTCGGGGGAGGTTCGGGTGTCGAGGTTTTCGGGGCTTTCGCTTCAGAAAAACAGATACTGACAGAGCTGCCTGTTCTGAAGAGCCCTCGTCGCCAAAGCTGGATTTTCTTCGAAAGTCTGGTCAGAACGCACCCCAGGAGAGGTCCAGGGATTGCAACCGATGCGGTAAAATGTGCGTTAGTTCCCCCATCCTTGCGAAAAGATCATTGCGGGCTGATTTGGGACACTTTCCGGCCGGGGGGTCCTTCCCGGATCGATGTGGTAAAAAGTGCGTTTGTTCCCCCATCCTTGCGAAAAGACCATTGCGGGCTGATTTGGGATGATTTTCGGCCGGGGGGGTCTTTTCGGATTTCCGGGGCAGTTGACAATGATACAGTATGACAATCTGTATGACAATTCATCATTGGGGAGGGGTCTGGAGAGTGTAGACGTCCGGGGGCCCACGTTTCGAAACAGTCTCGACGTCAGTGATCTGGGTCCGCGCGGTCAGAGCGTCCCTCGGGGGATTTTGGACCTGGGGCTCTCAGGCGCTGCCCCCGACTCCTTCGAGACACTTGTCTGAATACCAGTTCTCATGTAACAGTTCTGTTCACAGGGTTTCAAAGGTTGTTTTTTTTGTGTGATCAGGGCGTGTGCGTTTTTCAAAACAAGATGGAGTTCCCGCCGCGGCTCTGGCCCCATCTCAGGAGCATCGCTTCGGGGCTGTCGTTCAGAGTTGCGCTCTCACCCAAGCGCGGGCCATTTCTGTGGACCCAAGTCCTTTCTCTTCACTGTCGCCATCCTCCTTGCCCCTCCACCGCCTTTCCCTGGTTCTACTCCTGCCTCTGCTGCTGCTTCTCCTCATGCTTCTCGTGGTCCTTCTCTTCCTGTTCATTCTCCTGCTTATCCGCCAGCGCCCTTCCCCTTCCTCCACTGTGCGCGGCTCCCCAGTTTGGGGATCCGAGTCCGCCGGGGCACCCGTGGGCGGATAGCGATAAAGTCAGCGTGATGGAAAGGGACGAGTGTCACGCATTGTGCGCGTGCTTAGCTTGCCCCCTCTCCCCCCCCCATGCTCCTCTTCATTGCTGGGGCACTGGGGAACTCCCCCGTCGCTGGCAGCAGGGTCCACTCTAAAATGCTGCTGGCAGTCGCTGCGAGGCTGGTCGGGGCGCGCTCCAGGCGAGGTCCGGCGGTCGATGCTTCGGGCCCCGCCCCCCCATCCACTCGCCACGAAGCCAAACGGATCATGAGGGAACTGGGACTTGAGTCCAGCGTTGTTTGTTTGTTTGTTTGTTTGGCATGTGCTTCTTAGTTTTCCTGCCCTGGGGCCCGTCGGCGCCCCCGGGCCAGCAAAAACGATCCAGGATGACATGTTCCTTCTCCTCCTCCTCCCCCTCCTCCTCCTCCTCCTCCCCCTCCTCCTCCTCCTCCTCCTCATCATCATCATCATCATCATCATCATCATCGTCATCTCTCGCCCCATTTCCCATCCTTCCCGCTTCCCCGCCCTGCCTCCTTCCCTCCCTCCCTCCCCCCTCCCTCCCTCCCCCCCCCCCCTCCTCCCCTCCTCCTCCTCTCCTCCTCCTCCTCCTCCTCCTCCTCCTCCTCCTCCTCCTCCTCCTCCCCCTCCTTCCCCCAGCCGTTTCGGCAGGAGTCGTTGAGAAATCGCTCGTGTTTGACCCTGCGGCGTGTGGTCACGCGCAAAATGTGTACAGCATACGTTTTCGGGGCTGTCCGATTGGATTGTGCCATCTGATGTGCTCCCAGGGCCTCATCTGCTCTTCTGGAGGTGCAGGAAGTTCGGTTTTCACGACGAGTGGGCCAGCAGAACCAAGTGCAGAGGGTTGCGGGGGTTCTGTTCCGCAGCGCGTGGTGCAAGAGGCCAAGGAGGCCGCCAGTCAAAGCAGAGGCCGTGGCCATGCCGGAGGCACTTTTAGCCTGGACGCGGGCCAGGAGCAGGTGCAGCGGCAGCAGACCGGCCGAGGAAGACTGCAGCGCTGCAGAAGCGGCTCGACCAGTTGCTGGCCGGGAGTACAAAGCCCAGCATCAGCAGCAGCCCCAGTCAGCGGGAGACAGGCCCCTCCTACAAGGCGGTGCTCGGGTGCCTCCAGGAGAGAGGCCTGGGGTACCAGCGGCCCAAGCCCGTGGCGGAGGCCCAGCAGCGAGAGGTTCAGGAGCATGCCCCCTCGGTCGTCACAGCCAGGTGGAGGGTTGAGAAGCCTCGCCGCAAAGCGGATCGCTCCAGTGGGCAGTTCGCTGAGCTGCAGGAGAGGAAGGCGGCCCCGGCCGTGTTGCCTCCATGCGCCCCGCGCGCCGACGCGGTTGGCTGAGGCCGCGAGGCCGAAGCCAGCGGTGTTGCGGAGCTTCGGGAGCCGGAGCCTGTCGGGGACGGGGGGGGGGGTTTCTGACGGCGACCCGTCTGTGGGAGGGGGCGAGGTGGACGGTGACGGCGCGGCGATCGGATGGCGGGCGCGGGTCGGGGAAGCACACCTTCTGGCCCGAAGTGCCCCCCGCTGCGTCCGACGCCTGGGGGCACGGGTTCCCAAAGTTCGGGGTCGAGTCGCCCCGTGCTCAGGGGCAGTGGCGTGCGTTGTGCTGTCGGTGCACTGCGCGTTGCGCCGGTTAGAAGTCAGGCCTGGAGCTGCGAGCGCGGTGCAAAGGGGTGCCCGCTAGTACAGGCATCAAGTCCCAGCTGGGTCGCATCAAGAATGGACGTCGCCCCCATTACCGTGCGACCACCAGGGACCTTGCGCTCAGTCTCCATGGTCCACTGCCCAGCCTGGATAGGGAGACCGCGGGCAAGGCAACATTGTTTCCGCCGCCGCCAGTCGACCGAGCCTCATTGACCCTCAGCTGGCATGCGGCGTCAGGGTTTGCACCGAAGGAGACTGTGCTGCAGTCCTTCGGCCTGATCGAGAGAGACCTGCCGCGTGTCCAGGCGCTTGGGGAGAATGCCCGCCGAGACGGGTTGGGGATGGACTCCGACCCTGAGTCCGACGGAAGCGATCCCTTCCGATTCGCCTGCGTTGAGCGCGATCCATTACGACCTCCTCCTCATCCTTCTGCTGCTTCTCCTCCTTCTCCTCCGAATTGCTCATCCTCCCCATCGCTCTTCCCCCCCCGACCCGCACCGAGGAGGCGCTCCGTCCTACCTTCGCCTCCATGCCCAAGAACGAGCACGGGAAGCTGGGCCACGCGGCCGTGCGGTACGTGCTGCATCGGCTGTTCGTCTCGCGGCACGGGTGGTTCTGCGGGGGTCGTGGTGCGGAGTGCTTGTGCAGAACCCTGCTCACGGGAAGGCGAGGCACTCCCGACTCGTCTTCCTCCCCCCGCTCCCTCGCTCCATCTGGTTGAGGCTTCCCCCCCGCCTTCCCTGTTCCATTCCTCACTCCCTCCGTCTTTGCGTGCTACCGTTCCACCGCGGACTGTCCCCTTGTGCCGTCGTATCCGATCCTATCCTTCTCTCTGTTTGGATCTCTACTGCCCCTCCCCCCCCTTTTCGCTCTCCCTCGAATCTTTTCTTCCCTACCTCGTGGCCGAAACCAGCGCAGCATTGAGCCACTGACACCTCCAATCATGAAACCTCGAGGGGCCATGTGTTGAGGAAGGGAAGATGAAGAAGGACAAGGAGGAGGAGGGGTGAGGAGGAAGAGGAGGAACAGGACGATGGGCGTACAGGGTGCTCTTGGTTCGGTCGGTTCGGCTGCTTCATAGACGGCGTGGCCTGTTCGGTCGGCTGCCGCGTCGTTGCTACCTACATCCTTACTGCTTGCGGCCTGCCAGTTTCGCTCGGTGTCGGTGTCGTTGTCGGTCATGTTGGTGTTCGATGTTGGGGTCGCCGTGACGAGGTGGGGATGGGGAAGAGGTGGACGAGGACGAGGAGGAGCATGCGGATCAAGGTGCATCCAGGAGGCATCAACGATGTTGCAAGGCACCCTTCCGTCCAGTGCCCCCTCCTTGTGAGTTCCTACGGGGATCCCGTTTCACCACAAGAGGCGTAACGCCAGTCGCCCAGGTGGGCCTGCCGTTCAGGCGGGATCATGGTTACGAGCAGGACATGCTTTGCGTACTTCCAGCGAGTTCTAAGAAATGGACGCCCGTTTTGAAACGGAGCCGCAGTCCACCCGTTCAGTTGATACACATCTGTTCATATATATATATAGATATAGATATATCGATGTATGCGTATACATCTAAAGTTACAGCCTTTAATTGCGAGGACGCCTCAGACAATAGCAACAGTTTGGAAAGGAGCCGTCCCACAACGTTATAATTGATGCAAGTCCAAGTCCACTGCGCGCGAGATTTCAATTTTGAAGGCTGACCACCCTCCATTCTCCCAATTGTTTCATGTCCTTGCTGGTCTACGCATTCGCGAGCTGCCGCCGTTGTGCTTTCCTCATGACAGTGGTTGTCCGCCCTTCGTCTCCCATCTGCCTCCTCTTGTCATTTTTGACGGCTGGACTTTGCCAGTGTGCAGGGCAGGCGTTGGCGTGACAGCCGCCTTTCGTCGTCGTTGTCGTTGGCGTCCTCCTTCTGGACATCTGCGTGCACGCCTTGAGCACCCGTGGCGTCCTTCTGGCCACGTCCGCGGGACAGCGTCTCTTGCGAGTGCGGCGCCATTCCCGGTGCCCTCCTGGCTGCGCGGCCTTCGTGACGAGCGCCCCATTGGGGAGAGACCCACCCTCCTCGGATGCAACTCCTGGGAGGCCAAATTCTGTTTGTGCCCTGGTCCGAAGTCCGGCTGAATCCCGCTTAATCCCGCTTGATCGGGCTTAATCCCGCTTGATACGGCTCAATCCCGCTCAATCCGAGGCCCACTGCGGCGTAATAGCTCCCAAATGGGGCTCAACAATCCTCCATATAACCTCTCCGACGAAAACCTCCCAGCAGTTGCCTCCTGACACCCCCCGCGCTCGTGGCAGGGCCTCCGGGCTGGCCGCACCCGCGCCCCTCCCGAAGGTTCATCCAGGGCCTGCACGCCGAGGGCGAGGGCGGCGCCGAGGGCGGGGGCGGCTCCGGGCTGCTGCACGACCAGGCCGCCGGCCGCCCGCCCGCGCGCGCCGCCGCCCTCGCCGCCCTCGTCACCGCCAGGCCTCCGGGGCCTCCCTAAGCACGAGGCTTAAGAAAATTTGAGTTTTCGGCCAGAGTCTCGATGATTCTTAATGTTTCGATGTGAATCCTAACATTTTACTAGAAATGTTGGGTTGTTATCCAAGTTCTGAGACTATGAGTTTCTTAACCCATGATTTCTTAAGCATTTCGCAGGGTGTACAAAGTAAGTGGCAGGAGCTCTTGAGCTTGCCCGTGGCGAGCCGTCAACCAGGTTACCGCGGGGGCCTCGCAGAGCTCCGTGCACGCATAGCTGCTGCCGGAGCCAAGTCCAGAGCCGCACACGGCGCGAACGCCCTTGATGCAGTCGGGCGCGGAGTTTGGCCCAAGGCTCTCAGGACATGTGTCGTTCGACGTCCTCGGCCTCCCGGGGCCCTCGCTCAGGAGGAAAACAGGACAGAGACGCAGAGACCCAGGAGGGTATGGAAAATATGGGGAGGTCAGGAGAAGACGAGCATCCGGAACATATGGGGAATAGTTGTTGTTTCGCTCATTCCGCTGGCCCATATTGTATCACTGGTGCTATATGTTTGTGTCCTCGTGGCGAGCGAGAAGGAGGAGGACGACGAGGAGGAGGAGGAAGAGTGGAGGATGAGGATGAGGAGGAGGAGGAGGCCTCTCGATGACTTCTTGTGACATGTTTGGGCCAGACTGGTCGTGGACAAGAAGCCTCTTTGGGAGGCTGCTTGAGGTCTCTTGGGAGGCCTCTCGAGGGCCTCGCGTTTTTTTTTTAGACCTCCTGGGGCCTCTTGGGGGCCTCTTGGGGCCTCCTGTAGGCCGCTCGGGGGCCTCATGGGTCTTCCTGGGGGCCTCTGGGGGCCGAGATCTCGAAATGTCCTTCCGTGTCCCCCGTCAAGGCCCGCTCTTGGAGCTGTTGTGGGGGCCTCGCCTCTTGGGCCGTCTTGGAGGTCTCTTGGTTGGGCTGTCTTGGGGCCCTCTGGGGCCATTTTGGGGCCCTCTTGGAGGCCTCTTGGGCTGTGTTGGAGCGATCTTGGGGGCCTACTGGGCCGTCTTGGAGCGCGGGTATCGCGAAAAGGCGAGAGCGCCAACATCTTTCAAACACCGAAGGAAATCCATTACGTTTTACCTCTGGGAGTCCTCTTGGGAGGTCTCTTGGTAGCCTCTTGGGGCGTCTCAACGGCGCCTTGGGCCGTCTGGAGGCCGCCTTCGGCGTCTTGGACCGATCGCTCGACGACTCCGAGCCCTCTTGGGACCGTCTCGAGGGCCTGTTGGGGCCCACTTGGGAGCGCTCCAGGGGGGCCCGGCGGGCGGCGCCCAGGAGGTGAGCCATCTCTGAGGCGGGCCGTAAAAAAGGGCCCCATGCCGGGGTGCTTCTCGTCCGGGGGTCCCCCGGGGGCGGCCCCGCGCGCGCGAAGCAGAAGTACCCATCGGTCGTTGAGAGTAGGTAGCCTTGGAGCCCCAGATTCCAAGCTACTTTAAGCGCCTTCCTACTTCAATGATCGAGTGGCTTCACCTTGTCCGTCCTCCTTAGCGGGCGGGCGGAACCCAGTCTACTTCCAACGCGTTCCTGCGTTGTGTTTCTACGCGCTTCTTCCGACCGAATAGTTTTGTGAAGCAGTTGCCGGAGATCTCAGCACGCCTCTGGCCCGTGGGGCCAGCGAATTTGGGTCTAGCCTGGGATGTGTGTTTACAGTGGAGACCCATGCCAAGAAACACCCTGCTTGCCTCCAGGGTGCCCTGGGTTTCTTGGGTGTTGATGGTTCTGCGATGGAGAGCGCGACGTTCCTACACCAAAAATCAGTGGACGTCCTGGGGTCTCAGGGATGGGGTTCTTGTGGAATATTTATTTTGGTCGAGATCCTACTGTATGTACTTGTGTCTCTGGCCCCCCTGCACTCACCAGGCCCCAGAGGGGCCCTCAAATATACCGGCTCAGGATGAGAAGAGCCGGGCCCGCGGAAGGATCGGGACTTCAGGGGACCCAGTCCTGAGAAGGAATCGCGGGGTCGTCGTCTTCCTCCTACGTCGCCTCCTCCTCCTCCTCCTCCTTCTCCTCGTCCTCCCCTCGGTCTTGTGATCCCTGCTCGAATGTCAAGGATCTTGCACGTGTGCAGACCTCGTCGGCTTGCTTTCAGGAGGGAAAAAGACACACAGACACAATTCATCGAAGCGTCGATTCCCAGGAACATATGGGAACATATGGGAAGTGGGGGGGAAGACGAACATCCCAGACATATGGAACAAATAATGGAGAATGACGATTAATAAATGACAGGGGGTCGTGTTCACGCGGCGGCGCCCGGGATGACGATTAGAAAAAACCGGCCGCGGACTGGACAACTAGTTTTTTAACAAGTTCTCCTCCAGTCAGAATGTTTTGCAGAAGTAGCAGAAAATTGTTTTTTGAATCCTTCCCTCCAATTTTTTAACTAATCGTCATCCCGCATCATGGGAGTCCTGTTATCTGTGTGTATTTGCTTGCGTGTCCCTGGGGCGCCGTGCATGCTCGAAGAGCAGGGCCGCGGAACTTGCCCAGGCCTCGCCGGGCCCCAGCACCTCCGGAGACCTCCAGGGAGCTCCCCAGGCCTGCTGGCAGCGGAGGGCGACGTCGGTCGCCGCCGCCGCCGCCTTCGTCGTCAGAACGTCGCCGCCGCCGTCGCGTCGTCGCCGCCATCGCGTCGTCGTCGACGTGGCGTCGTCGTCGACGTGGCGTCGTCGTCGCCGCCGTCGACCGTCGCAGCGTCGCCGTCATCGCGTCGTTGTCGTCATCGCCCAAGGTGCCCGAGCACGTGCAGAGCCTCTTCGAGCGTCGCGTGGGCCAGCACGGTTTGGGCCTTGAGGACTTGGACGCCTCTTGCTCCCCCCTGCTCTCCTCCGTCCTCCTCCTCTGCCTCCCCCCGCCTTGCCTCCTCCTCGTAGCCTTCCCCCACTTCTGCTCACCATCCCCTCGCCGCCCTTACATTCCCAACCCTCTCCCTCCTCATCATCCTCCGCCGCGCTCTTCAACGGCCTCCTCATCCTCGTCCTTCTCTCCATCCGTCGTCCCCTTGGCATCGCTCGGAAGTGTGCATCCTCTTCTCGGCGAGGAGCACAGAGGAGCAGTTTGAGTCACCTTGCCAGCAAACACGCACGACACTGTGCACGGGGAGTGGACGTCCGAGCGATGGCACGGTCCTCCCGTTCCCCCTCTCACTTCCCATCCGCCACCTCCTCTCCGCCTCCATGCCCCATGCTCCATCCCCTCTCCTCCAGAAACTTCGCGCAACAGGGAATTGTCTGTTGACCACCGCCTTCCCTTTTCATAGTCCTTCTGATTGTGACATCTACCATAGCCCCCGCAAGTGCGGATAGGAGTGGGAGATGAAGAAGCCCACCGCAGGCGCGCGTTTTCATCCTTCAACATTTCATTGAGGCGAAGCGGCGACGGCCCCCACGACGCCGCGAGTCCCCCGCGAAGGGGGCTCCCGGGCCCCCTCTCTCGGGTATAGGCCTCCTCGATGGGGTCCGAGTTGATGGGGTCGGAGTACCGCGCCACATCGCCGATGCCTCGGCGATGCAGCTCCACGCGGGGCCCGACCTTCTCCATGCCAGCGCCGCCGATGCACCGCCGACGTCTGCATCGCCGAGGCGTCGCCGGTGCGGCGCGATCCTCCGCGCCCCCACGCGACCGGCGCCACCCGCTGGCCCAAGGCGACGGGCCTCCGCGACGCCGCGGGGCCCCGCCCCCCTCCCCACCCTCGGGGCCCCCAGGCGTGCGCGTGGGGCCCTCCGTGGCAGGGCCCTGCCGCCCGCCCCCCCCCCCCCTGGGCGGGCAAGAAGAGGCTGCGCGCGGCGGCGTGTGCTTGCCCCGGAGCAGCCAACGCGCGCACGACTGGAAATGGGTTCGCGTGCGCCGGAACCCCTCACTCCGATGTGTGTCTGTCTGTCTGTCTGTCGGTCTGTCTGTCTGTCTGTCTGTCTGTCTGTCTGTCTGTCTGCATGGACATATGTGTTTTATGTGTACATGTATGTTTGTTTGTATTTATGTGTACATATTGGCGTGTATGCATGTACACATGCATGTAGGTCTGTCCGTACGTGTGTATCTATGTATGTTTACGTGTATGTATGCCTGCATGTGTGTATGTGTATCCATGCATGTATGCATGGATGCATGTATGTTTGCATGCATGTATGTGGGTATGGATGTATGCATATATGCATGCATGCATGTATGTATGTACGTGTGTATGTATGGATGTGTGGATGCATGTATGGATGTATGTATGTGTGCATGTATGTACGTACGTGTGTATGTACGTATGTATAAATTTGTGCATATATGCATGAAGTCATGTATGCATGTGTGTATGTGTGTGTATGAATGTATGCATGCATCAATGTATGTGTGCATGTATGTATGTGTGCATGCCTGTGTGTATGGATTCATGGCATCATGCATGTGTACATGTACGTGTTTGTAAGCATGGTTGGTTGTAGGTTCGTGCTCATGGGTGAACGGATTAGGTTTGGTATGTTTGTGTGTATACCTATATGCGTGTACGCATGCCTGCCTGCCTGCACGCATGCATATGTGCGTACATGTAAGTATGTATGCATGCATGCATGTATGTATGTTTGTATGTGTGTATGTGTGTATGTGTGTATGTATATGTGCTCATCGGTATGTACCCATGTGTTATGTAATTAGGTAAGTCGGTAGGTCGGTGGGTAGGTAGGGTGGTCGACAGGTAGGTTGGTTATTAGGTAGGTAGGCCGGTAGGTGGGTGGGTCGGTAGGTAGATGTGTCTATTTCTAAATAATAGACAACTGTTCGAACACCTGTGCATATCTAACTGTGCAGTAATACCCGACATACCTGCACATTTCAAAGCACACAGCACATTGTTCCTGGTCGTATTGGGGGCCGCAACAGCTTGTCCACATCGTCCTCCGCCTTCTAGGCCCCTGCGCTCCTTTTTGCTTCGCCTCCGCCTTCCTCGCAACCCGTACCATCCAAACTGCCTGACCCGTCGTTGGGCCAGCTGGTGGCCCGCTTCTTGGGAGGCGTGGAGTGCGTGGAGTGCGGAGAGTGGGGGAGGGGCAGGGAGGAGTGAGGGGACATAGGAGCGCAGGGCGGAGGAGGAGGAGGAAGAGGAGAAGGACGAGGAGGAGAGAGAAGAAGGAGGAGGAGGAGGAGGTGGAGGTGGAGGAGGAGGAGGAGGAGGAGGAGGAGGAGGAGGAGGGAGGAGGGGGAGGGGGAGGGGGAGGGGGAGGAGGAGGAGAAGGACGAGGAGGAGGAGGAGAAGGAGGAGCAGGAGGAGGAAAAGGAGGAGGAGGAGGAGGAATAATAATAATAAGAAGAAGAAGAGTAATACTAATAGTTCTAATACGGATAATAGTAATAATAATAATAGTGGTAATGATTAGAAGGCGAAGCATACTACTATTAATAATAAGAAGGATAAGAAGAGAAGGGTGAGGAGGAGGAGGAGGATGAGGAGGAGGGAGGAGGAGTGAGGAGGAGACGTAGGAAGAGGAGGAGCAGGAGCAGGATGAGAATGAGGCGGAGGAGGAGGAGGAGGAGGACAGATCGCATCAAACTTGGAGGAGGAGGAGGAGGACGACGAGGAGGAGCAGGAGGAATGAGGGGGCATAAGGAGCATGGAGGATGCCAAGTTCGGTGCGCTCGCGCCACGTCGGCCACCGTACGCCTATCTCCGCCTCATCCCACCCTGAATACCGAAGCAAGAGGTCGGGGGAGCCCGGCGCGGAGGAGGAGAACGAGGGAACGATGGAAGCGAAGGAGGAGGAGGAGGAGGAGGAGGAGGAGGAGCAGGAGCAGGAGAAGGAGCAGGAGGACTCGGAGGAGGCGGATGCGAAGGCGGAGAAGCAGCGGCAGGGGCACAACAAGGAGGAGGAGGGAGGACAAGGAGTGTGAGAGATGCAACAGGAGGATGGAAGCGGAGGAGGGAGGCAGCAGTTCGTGGTAGCAGCGGGCAGGCCGCAGCGAGGGCCGCGGGGAGGAGGCAGCGAGGGAGGAGAGCAGGCGGGCAGAAGTGTGGAAGCGTGCAGCGAGGGAGGGGGGGCATGTGGAAGGGGGGCGGATTTTGGAGGGAGGGGGGGGGGCGATGCGACGGAAGAGGAGGAGGACGAGGAAACGCGGCCGACAGAGGAGCCTGGGAGGAGGAGGGGGGGCAGGAGCCAGCGGGGAAGAGTCAGCAGTCGGAGGAGGAGGAGGAGGAGCCAAGAGACAGGACAGTGTGTTCCGTTGGTTGCTCAACCCTCTGCATCAATCACCTACATAGAAGCATGTACGTATGTATGCATGCATGCATGGATGGATGGATGGATGTTTGTATGTATGCATGTATGTATGTATGTATGTATGTATGTATGTATGCATGTATGTATGTATGTATGTATGTATGTATGTATGTATGTATATATGTGTGTTTGTATGTATGTATGGATGGATGGATGGATGGATGGATGGATGGATGGATATATGCATGCATGCATGCATGTATGTATGTATGTATGTATGTATGTATGTATGTATGTATGTATGTATGTATGTATGTATGTATGTATGTATGTATGTATGTATGTATGTATGTATGTATGTATGTATGTATGTATGTATGTATGTATGTATGTATGTATGTATGTATGTATGTGTGTGTATGTATGTATGTATGTATGTATGTATTTATGTATGTGTTTGTGTGTATGTATGTATGGATGGATGGATGGATGGATGGATGGACGGATGGATGGATGGATGGATATATGCATGCATGCATGCATGCATGCATGCATGTATGTATGCATGCATGTATGTATGTATGTATGTATGTATGTATGTGTGTGTATGTATGTATGTATGTATGTATGTATGTATGTATGTATGTATGTATGTATGTATGTATGTATATATGTATGCATGCATGCATGCATGCATGCATGGATGTATGTATGTATGTATGTATGTATGTATGTATGTATGTATGTATGTATGTGTGTTTGTGTGTTTGTGTGTATACGTGGACCGCGTGGGCAACGCCGAAGCGGACCGCCTGGCGGCATAGGCCTGGATGCCCGCGCCCGCGCTGTGCCTGGAGCGCACGCGGCAGCTCGACGCGCTGGCCGCGGTGCAGAGGGTGTTGGCGTTCGTGGAGCTCGCGGCGCTGAAGGCCAATCATGCGCCGCGCGGCGCAGCGGGGCCGCGCGTCCGGCGTCGCTGGACGGCGCCGCGCGCCGTCCAGCGAGGCCTGCAGGCGCGGGCGGCGCGGCCGATGCCGCCCGGCCAGCTGCTCCGCCAGCGCCAGCGGCCGCGGTCCAGGCGTTGTTTGCCGGCGACGCTTGGCGGCCGCACGCGGCGTCCCAAGGGCCGGGCTGGGTCGCCTGCCTCTGTTGCGGCGGGTGGGCAACTGGGGCTGGCGAGCCGGCCTTGCGCCGGCTGGGTTGCGACGCTGTCGCCCCGCGCGGCGGGGCTGCTGCTGCTGCCCGCGGCCCGCGCCGGAGGCGCGGAGGCCGACTGGCGGGCGGCGCTGCGGGCGCGGCTCGCCGCGCGCCCCGGGGCGCCGGAGGCGGCAGGCTAATTTGCTTGATTGGCGGCGCCGCCGCCGGTGCAGGAGCGGGCCGCGCGCCCGCCGCACCCCCTTCCCTTTTCCTCGCTCGTCCACTTTCTCCGCCGCTGGGCGGTCTTCCCGCTGGTGAAAAAATGGTGTGTGCGTGTATTTAAGTTTGTTTGTCTGTGGGTATATGTTTGTAGGTAGGTAGGTCGGCCTGTATGTATGTCTATATGTATGATGTGTATGTATATACCTACACATAACGGCAGTCAATCTTATGTGTACACCGTTTCCAGCGCTGTTTTTTGGCACGGTTCCGTCGCCGTTGTTTGTTCCTATTCCGATTCCAGCTGCAATCACGGAGCAGGCACTTCCCGTGTGCAGGAGTTTTCTATTAACGCTAATTTGCTCCAGCGGGTGTTTCATTAGTGAAACATACTTCGAAGTGGCAGAGGAGGAAGGGATGAGGATGAGGATGAGGAGGAGGCGGCGGCGGCGGCGACGGCGGAGGCAGAGGCGGAGCAGGAGGAGAAGGAGGAGGAGGAAGAGGAGGAGGAGGAGGAGGAGAGAGGGAGGTGGAAGGGAGCGCGGGCGGCGGAAGAGGAGGGGTACGATGCATTGTCGACGGACGGACAGGTTGAAGAAGGGGGCGCAGGAGGGGGCGAAGCGAGGACGCAGGCAGCGCATGGTGAGGCGGGCCGAGGTGGTGAGGATGGATGTTGCGGAGGACGGGTGGGAGAGGCAGGAGGGATGGATGCGAAGGAGGGAGAGGGGAGGATGGAGGAGTAGCTCGCGGTCAATCGGCGAGCACACATTCTACACCTGCACCAGAGCTGGCCATCACATGCCGATCCTGGGCAGGATCGGTGTAGGTGTACAGCTGGCGTCCTCCTAGACAGCAGTGAGTGTCAACTGCGATTTCGCAGGCAGGTGTTGATGGGGATGATATTCCTGATGGTGGCGGAAGGGAGGTGGAGGGAGGAGGAGCAGGGAAACTAACAGAGGAGTTGACGGTCCTGGCGGCCACTCTTGAGCACCTGGTGCACAACGAGGTGTCCAACCATCTCAACGCCACTTTCCGGCTGTTCGGCGCAGGCGGGGACGAATCTGTCCAAGGCGAGAAGGCGCTGGAGATGCTCGACGCGTACATGGCCGTATACATTTTCGGGGGGAACATCTCGGGGATGCCCGCCACGCATGTGCGCTCCCTCATGCGGAACATCGGCCAGATGTACCCCACCTGGCCCCACACGCAGGAGTGGGTGCGCGGCGTCTACAACGAGACCGTCCCGTCCAGCCGCAGGAGCGGCATGGGGTTTGGCGACGTGGTGGGCGTGGCGGAGCAGGTGGGGGAGCGGTACGGCCGGTGGCAGAACGCCGAGTGTTTGGACCTGAAGCGTAAGCTCGAGGGCTACGGGGACGCCTCCACGGGCCGCGTCCGTCTGGTGGACTTCTATTCCGGGGCCGTCCGGGACGGCCAGTGGCAATTCTCGGAGAGCGTCGCGTACCTCCGGGAGCTCGGGGCGCTCGACGAGAGCGATGCGGCGAACCCGCGGGTGATCATCCCCAACTACATCAACAGCCCCTCGAACTGCGTGGCGTCGTCGAGCTACTATTCGGTGTTCAGGAGGGGAGAAACACACAGACACAATGAACCGTCGCTCCCCAGGATCATTGAGGAACATATGGGGAGTTGTGAGGAAGACGAAAATCCAGAAAACACAAGAGAATGCATTACGAATTTGGGGCTCCGTGTGTATTTACGAGTGTGTCCCTGGGCCCCTCCAGGTGTGCTGCATCAACGAGTGCGAGGACCTGCTCGGGCACCTGGAGGAGCAGGTCGGCGCCCCGGAGGCCAGGCCCAGCCAGCTCTCGGCGCTCGTCGCCGCGCTGCCGTCGGCCACGCGGCAGGCCGGCCGGACGCTGCCTGCACCGCTGTTGGCGAGGCTGGACGAGGTGGCCGAGCACCACGGAGGTCAGATCGGAAGTCACGGAAGCTTCCGCTCGCCTTTACGGGGCGTGAAAACGACCACAGCCGTTGCTTTCCTTTTTTTGACGCCTTCCAGCCCGCAGAAACAAAGCAATGGTTGTGGTCATTTTCGTTGAGCTTGGCACCCGGGAAAGGACCACAACCACTGCTTCTTTTTCGGCCGGCTGGAAGGTGGCGCAAACAAGAAGCAGTGGCTGTGGTCATTTTCCCGTCCCGCAGTCTTGGATCCAGCGGGCCTCGGCGAACAGCGCCCCATGGCGAGCAAAATGCCGCCCCACAGCGCTCCGCCAGCGCACAACGATCGCTCCATAGCGCCCAACAGTGCCATGCGAGGGAGATGCCGTATGCCGTATGCCCACGTGGCGCGCGCTTGGGCGCGCTACCGGGAGCCATGGGGACCACCGAGAGCTTCCGTGACTTGCGCTCTCACGGAGGGCGCGTCCCGTTGCACGGCCGGCTCTTCGCTCAATGGCTGCACCTGGCGTACCCCATGGAGTGCCCTTTCCCTCACGTGGCGGGCGCCGTGAACGCCGTCAGGGCGGTGCAGTTCACGAAGGCGACCGGCCACAGTGCCACCCTGAACGAGACGGAGATCAGGCAGCAGATCCGAGAGGCGCCCGAGCCCAGTGCCGACGCCGGAGCGGAGGAGGGCGTGTGCAGCATCGCAACGTGCGGCATGTGGACCATGAAGGAGGATCAGAGGAGGGAGAGGTACCTAGTTACCGCTGCCCCTGCGTCGTTCGTTACTCTTGGGGCCTATCCTGGGAGGCCCTCGCCGCCACAGTTGGATTGGCCTTGAAATGCTTGTCAGGACGCACCCTGGGAAAGGTCCAGGAGTAGCCGTACTTTTTGTTGGTTATTGAGGATACAATTACCCCTCACCCTGATGACACGATGAAGACGAAGAGGTAGCCTCACTGAGGTCCCCGTCTTCGCATCAGGGATCCTACATCTGGGCGGCCTGGCCCGATACATCTGCAGAAACAGAGGCTCCCTGTCTCTCATGCTCCTGGCCCTCCCAGCCGAGGTCCTCTCCCAAAGGGTTAGGGGTACTTTTTATGGCCAGGCCTTCTGGCCCCCCCGAGAAGGAGCTGATCGCTGGCCCCGCCGTGGCGCCAGCCGCTCGAGGGCGCCACGGCGCAGCCTCTGCGCTCGTGCGCGGCGTGCTCGGCCTCGCCGCGGTCGTCTCGTCCGGCCTGGCCGTGCTCAGGAGGGGGAGAAAGACGCAGACGCAAGTCTTTGGGCGCCCGAAATGGGTACGGAAAGGACGGGTACAATGCCCAACAGCAAATGTTGCCCCAAACCAACAGCGGCCGCTGCTGGGCAGGCGGCCTTTTGTCTCGAATGGACACAGGCCGCGGCGGCGCGGGCAGCGAGTCCTGATCAAGATGAACAAAAGCTGCTGTTGGGCATTGTACCCACTCTTTCCGTACCATTTCGGGCGCCCAAAAAGTAATCGTCGATCCCCTGGAGGATATATGGGAAGTGGGGGGAAGACGAAACTCCAGAAACTATGGGAAACACATCGGGAATGCTGGTGTGTGTGTGTGTACTTCTCTGTGTGTCCCCGGCCCCCTCACGTGCTCAGGACCGCAGGGTCTGCCTGTGGCGCCGCCAGCATCGACAAGCTCGACAAGTTCGTGTGAGCTCGGCTCTGCGCCAACACGCCGGGCGGTTCCGACGTTCCACTTCGGGCGGCGTGCGCTCGCCGTTCAAAGCACGCAGACGGCGTTTAGCAGCGTTGCTGAGGAGCGATGCCATACGATGCGATGCTGCGCCATGCGCAGTGTCATCGTTGCACCGCCTAGCACAACATGGCACAGCATAGCATCGCATCCACGATCGTAGCGCAGAGTAGCAGTCTGCACTATGCCGTCTGCAGCATTCCAGGTCGCAGCATGTCATATCGCAGCCAGTCATGGCTGATCCTAGTGTTGAGCTGTACGTCGTAGCAGCACAGCGTAGTCGCAAGTCGTAGCATGACATGGCGTTGACGTCATATGTTAACATGGCATTGCAGGACATTTCAACACATGCCGCATCATGCCGTCGCCCAGCTCATGGCATATCTAGTTGCATGCGGGACATATGCAGCCACCGTGCCAGCGCAGTAGCGCAGCAGGATAGAGGTCGAGTTTAAGACCCGCTCCAAATCAGCGCCTTTGCGTCTCGAGGGGGGGTCGGTGGGAGGCTTCACCGTCTCCCGGAGCCGTTCTGCGGCCGCTGGGAGGCTTGTCGGAGTCAAGATTGGCCCATCTTGGACCGTGGTGTGCCATATGGGAGGCAACCGCAAGGCAGCAGGGTCCATCTTGGATCTATCGTGGCCCTGAAGCCTCCCAAGAATACCCCCGAGAAGCTCAACTCATTCAAGTACCTTCGAACGGTTTTGAATCAGTTTCAATGTGGACATGGGGAGGGGGGTCAGAAGGGAAGGGGGGTCCTTGATGAAGGTCCCTCCGTCGGAGCCCTAACAATTACATCTTGCCTTGTATGATCCCATATTTCGGCTCTCTTTGGCTTTATTGGGGCCGTCACGGGGCCTCTAAGACCCATCGGACGTGAACGCGCGACATTGCCAACATAATAGTTGAAGGAGTCCCTGGGAGTGGGTGGCGTCTTTTCGAGGCCCCAGAGTTTCTTGGAGCCGTCCTGGAAGAGTCTTACGGCCGCTTGGAGTTGGAGGCCATCTTGGATACCATCCTGGGGCATCAGGAGGCACATTGGAGCCACATCGACCCTGACGCATCCCCAGAAACCTCCGCGAAATCCAACAATTCAGTATCTTTTAATTTAATGTTACGTTAATGTGATTGTGTAAGGAGAGGTCCTTCACTAGAGGTAGACACCACCAGCCGTGCAGACGACATGCCAGTAGAAAAGCAACACCACAGTGACACTTTCGAATGAAGTGCGAATCGAAAGTTCGAGTGGAGAATCGTTACGGATCGAACGTATGATGAATAAACCCGACACGACCCCAATTCATGGAAAGCCTACTGCACGGGCGCATCGCCTGGTTTTGCTTGGGATTGCTTGACGTTGTTTAGCAATGCTTGGCATTGCTTGTCATTGATAGGCATTGCTTGGCATTGCTTGAAATAGGTTGGCATTGCTTGGCATTGTGTGACATTGTTCTGCATGAGTTGGCATTACATAGAATTGCAGGGCATGGCCTGGGGCAACGGGGGGTGGGGAACCTGATGAGCCGGGGGAGCCCGAGAAACCTCTAAGGAATGCAACATAAGAATCGGAGGCACCGGGGGCGAGGAACCCGGGGCACCCGAGGAACCCGGGGTACATCAGAGAATTGGGCAAAGTAAGAATCCGAAGCACCAATGTCGAAAGAAGTAAGAGCCCCTCAGGCAAGCCTGAGTGGGGAGAAGTATGTGTTCACATTGTGTCACACTTAGAAAGCAGAACTGGTCCTCATATGTCTTTTCTTATACACACTTAGGATATGCGTGCGTACCTGTAACACGTGTTGCACACAGGACGCGCATGTGTGCATTGTCCGTCAGGTTTTGCATTTGGGTCGGACGTGGTTCGTGGTTGTTTCAAACGTGGTTCTCACTCGCACTGTCCATTCGTATGTACGCAGCCGTGACAACAGTTTTTTTGAATTTGCCATGATGCTGATGTCTCCAAGCCCTCTGATGATTCCTAACATGGCATGATTACTGCGTCATTTGGCCGAGTAGTTTCCCATCCGCCTCATGCTAAATCTCTGCTACCCAAAAACCGGATCGGAAACTACGCCGCGCCGCATTCTATGAATTATCGGGCGGGACGCGCGGAGTAGTTGAAGCATTTCTTTTCCGACTTGCTCCGCGCTGATGCGCTAGTGGCCCGGGCAGATTGAAAGAAACGTTCGTCGCGGTGGTGTATGTCTTCTCGCCCTTTCGACCCGTGCTTGTCTCTCACCCGTGTGTTCGATCCTGCCTCTTGTCAATCTCGAGCTTGGGCTCCTTCGAGGTCTGGATGTCCAAGTGGGGTTCCGAGGGGGAGGGCGAGGGAGGACGGGAGGGGGAGGCGGAGAATCAGCGGGGGCAGTGTCCAGCACTGTCCCGTGGCGAGGGTTTTCTTTTTGCTGCGCGCCGTCGGGGTCGTGCTCTCACGGCTCGCGACGCCGGCGTCGGCAGACGAGTGGGGCTCGTGGAGTGTGAGCCGCGTCTGGTCCTCTCCCTCTCCCTTGCCGTTGCCTGCCCATCCCCCTGCGGTGCCTCTGTGCGTTTTTTTTTTTGCGCGCGCTCTCTCTCTCTCTCTTTCGTCGTCGCCTCTCTCTCTCTCTCTCTCTCTCTCCCTCCGAGGGGTGCGGCCAGAGGCGCAAAGATGGGGGGGGGGGGCTGGGAATAAGAGGGAGCGGTCGGGTGGCTTGGGCATGGGGCGTCGGCTCGGTCTCCTCCCTACCATCTTTTCTCTGTCCCTACACCCATCTCCCCCCCCTCTCCTGCCCCCCCCCTCCTTCCCTCCCGGCGTCGTGTCTGTTTTTTGTTTTTTTTTCGCGGCGTGGCCCCCCAGAGGTTTGGATACCTCCCCGGGTCCAGTTTTTCATCCTGGAGCTAGGAGTGCCTATCGGGGGGCCAGGCGAGGGCTCCTGGAGGCCGGAAAAGACAAAAAACCGTCCCGTGCGATTGCTGTCATCGCCCCTGTCCACGTTCGTTCCTCCCCCCCTCGCCCCCTGGACCCCCCCTCCTGTCCCGCCCTCTGCTCCGCCCGCCCGCCCGCTCGCTCGCTCGCTGCCTCGCGCTCCCCTCCGGCGGCAGTGCGTGGTGTGGTGGAATGAGCAGAACATGTACGACATGAAGAAGAAGGAGCGTGCAGAGGGGAGGGTGCGAGATGCCCCACGTCTGGACAGCGTCAAGGCAAGATGTTCCTTGCTCTCGGCGCCCGGGGGCCCTCGCCAGGCCCCCGAGGCCGTGAACACCGGCTCGGGATGAGAAGCTGGTCCTGGGGACAACGCCGGGACTGCAGGGGACCACGTGGTTTCGTTTTTTTTTTCGGGGGGGGGGGGGGGGGATGGGGGGGATGGGGGGATGGGGATGGGCGGGGGGGGAGGACTGAGGGGGGACTGATGGGGGGGGATGGGGGGGGGGATGGGATGGGATGGGGGATGGGATGGGGGGGATGGGGGGATGGGATGGGGGGGGATGGGATGGGGGATGGGGTGAGGGGGGATGGGATGGGGGGATTGGATGGGGGGGGGGATGGGGGGGGGGACTAGGGGGGAGGACTAAAGGGGGGGGGGAAGGGAGCGTGCAGGAACGAGCCCAGCGAGGAGGTGTGTGGGTCGGCCAGGCCTGCGCGCGCGGATGCCGCAGCGCCGCGGTCGGTCCCTCGCCTCCGCGCAGGCTGCCTCCTCCGCGCCCCTTCCCGAGGCCTCCCGCCCTGCCCGGCCCCCCCCCCCACTCCCCGAGCAGTCCTGGCCCAGCACCCCGCCGGGGGGGACAAGATGGGCGCCGCGCCCCAGACGTGGGGACGCGGTTCTGGGATCAGGGCGGGAGGGGAGGAGGAGCGGGAGCGAGGACAAGCGCAGAAGCACTTGCAGGAGCAGGAGCAGAGAGAGAGAGAGAGAGAGAGAGAGCAGCATGGATGTGGGGGCATCCTTCCCCTGATCGCGTGGGCGTTGACCCGCGGGGTCCTCTGCAGATTCCTGGCGGCGCTGCGCTGGCACGCATTCGCAAGCTGTGCGCCCAAGGCTGGCTCGGCGCGTGTGTGTGTGTGTGTGTGTGTGTGTGTCTGTATGTGTGCGTGTGCGTGTGCGTGTGCGTGTGCGTGTGCGTGTGCGTGTGCGTGTGCGTGTGCGTGTGCGTGTGCGCGTGCGCGTGCGCGTGCGTGCGTGCGTGCGCGTGCGCGTGCGCGTGCGCGTGCGCGTGCGCGTGCGCGTGCGCGTGCGTGCGTGTGCGTGTGTGCGTGTGCGTGTGCGTGTGCGTGTGCGTGTGCGTGTGCGTGTGCGTGTGCGTGTGCGTGTGCGTGTGCGTGTGCGTGTGCGTGTGCGTGTGCGTGTGCGTGTGCGTGTGCGTGTGCGTGTGCGTGTGCGTGTGCGTGTGCGTGTGCGTGTGCGTGTGCGTGTGCGTGTGCGTGTGCGTGTGCGTGTGCGTGTGCGTGTGCGTGTGCGTGTGCGTGTGCGTGTGTGTGTGTGTGTGTGTGTGTGTGTGTGTGTGTGTGTGTGTGTGCGTGCTCGTGTGTGTGTGTGTGTGTGTCTGTGTCTGTGTGTCTGTGTGTGTGTGTGTGCTCGCCTTGCGCCTCGGCACGACCGCGGTCCTGCTCCCAGGGCTGAAGGCTTCATGGGCGGTCGGGCTGCCGAGACCCCAAGCAGCCGGAGGCCACGAGGCACATCGCGCGCCTTCCAGGGAAGGCGGGCGGCGGGCGCGATCGGCCGAGACTCCATTGGGAACCGTGTAGAAGGGCCAGAACCACTCTAACGTTCGGCGCGCCGTGCAACCCTGGGGCAAGCCACGGGGGGCAGGGGACCTTGAGGCCCTCTCGGGGTTTCTGGGGGCTTCCTGAGATCTTCTTGGGAGCCTCCGGGGGCCTCCCGGGACGTCGTGGGGGCCTCTAAGGGACATCTTGGCCTTCGGAGTCCATCTTGGGGCCCTCTCTGGGCAGTCGTGGGTCCGTGGGGCCGTCTTGGAGGTCTATGTGGCCG